GCAGCCAGCACAAATGTAATGATAGTGACGAGTTTTTCTGAGCACTGAGTCCTTCCCGCAAGGAAATTTGACAGGAAGTCATTCTTCATAAAGCCATATATGTGCAAACATTTGCGCAAATAGCCTCCTTTGAGACTAAATCTTCCAAGATGTGCTTTGAATCCAGGCACAGGAGAATTACTCTGCCCCAGAGTATTCCATGTGTTTCAGGGTGTGCATGCAGAGTGCTTGTGAGCAGGGGGTGCTCATTCATCTCCGTGAAGGGAACAGCTTCACATAGGAATGTTCACATGGCTCTGCTTTCTCCATCAGTATGAAAAGGGAAGCTCTTCCAGGTAGGAGAACTCATTTTGTGCACCAGGCTTCCTGAACCATTTGAAATATTACAAATGATTGGTGAGGCAGAATATCTTGAATTAAAAACTCATGGAAGAAAGAAATGGATGGATTCTACCAAGCACCAGTCATGTAAATTGATGTCATCATTCCAAATGCCCCAGGTGTTATCCCTCTGACAGCTATTTCTTCCCATATAGCACATGCTGGTCTCTGTAGTCAACTCAGGAGAGACTCTCCATGTCCCAAATATCAGTACTGAGTTACTGAGAGAGGAATTTTTATTGATTGCTCTCCAGTAGTGGAACTTCCTTTCCACAGAGAATCAATCTGGCATACGATGAGTGGAAACACACAGGCCATGGCAATCGTTTGATTACTTCACCAGCCGCCCAGCTTACAACTCGACTAACTTGCTTAGTGGTGGGGTAATTGTAGAATGAATTGTGTGTTGGGCATGGAATGAAACAATCACACAACTGCTTGCACAGACCACTCAGCCCACATTCCCTATATGGCCATTTGGGTCTCAGAAGGCTGATTCTCCTGCCTGCTCGGCCTCTGGTGGTATATGTTGTTTTTCAGCTTGGCTGACCCTCAGCTTGCCTTGCACTCGTGTCAAAGTGTTTGTGTAAAACTTACCTCACATGCTCCACAGGCAGCTGAGCATACTGTCACAAAACTTCACATTTTTTGTTTGAGCGATACTGTGCCCAATTGTGATCTGAATCTATCATGCTTCACTAGGAAGGTTACACAAATTCTACATCAAGAGAAAAATGTAAGCAAAAGGTAATCTGACCTGAAGAAAAGTACAGATCAGCCTTGACTGTTTTCTGAGGGTGATATAAAACTTTTCACTTGGGCAGGCATTTGCTGGCTAGGGAGAAGCTGGGGATATTTTCACTCTATATTTTATTTCCATTTTCAGTGAACATTCATAAAAGTTGTCACCCACTGTGAGTCTTAAGGATAGTCGCATTATATATTCATGTAAATGTATATTTCTCTCTGGGGAACAATTTTCACCCTGACGTATATGCATGGAAATTTAGAATTTACACTCCAGCTATTTAGATGAGAATCTTACTCTCTGCAAAAAGAGACAGAGCTGCTTAAAATCTTGGCCCTTCCAATTTCAGTGGGAATTTTGCCATTGGCTTGAATGAAGACAACATTCCAGGCAGAATAATTATCTTCCACCAACATTCCAGAGCAGCCAGCAATTGAAAACAGTTGTCTCTTCTCTCTTTACTCTTTGGGGGTGGGGGGGGGTATTACTGGCTGGATTGTGTTAGGGAATCCTAGAGTCTATTTTTAGAAGGCAGCTCCATTGCTCTGTTGTGGTACTGCAGCACACGTGCTGTGTGACCCACAGCTGCAGAAGTGAATTATTTGCACATCCTAAATCAATTTAGATGTTTGAAGTGAATGAAAAAGTACATTTGGATTTCATTTGAAACAGAGGCATCTTCTTCATCAGTACATTATGTGGTGAGGAGGGAGAAATGTTTTTTTACTAGGGATGGGCATGAACCAGGAAAACACAGTTTGGTTCAGTTCGTGGTTCGTGGTGTGCCTGGTTCGCGACCCATGGACCATCATGAACTTTTGGATGCTAAATGAACTCGTTCTGTTCATGAGGTTTGTGATGTGGTACAATGACCCCCCGGTAGACTAAAGACACCAAATTTACAGGAGATCTCTGGCTGACTCTCCTCTAACTGCCCTCCAAGTTTGGTAAGGATTGAATTTACTGGGTCCAAGTTATGGTCCCCCAAAGAAGTTGTCCCCGGGAAAGTATTATCTGGGGAAATGATAGGCACTGGTTCAGGAGGTTGAGAAGTGTATAGAATGGGTCTTGTGCAGACTAGAAACACCAAATTTACAGAGACCTTCCAGCTGACTCTCCTCTACATGCCAACCAAGGTATGTGCACATTGGATTTACAGAGTCTGAGTCATGGCTCCCGCAAAGAAGGTACCCCATCCTCTATCTTTCCCCAAGGAGGGAGAAAACCCAGCAAAATAAAGCAAGGGCAATAGAAGCCCAGCAGAACAGAATCAAAGTCCTCGAGAGTTTCTGCAGTTGAAACTGAAGGTAAGGGGCATTTTTTCAAACCCAGCAGAACCAGTGCCACTGCAGCAGTGCAAACCCAACAGGACTAAGGTCAAGCCAGGAAAATGCTTTTGGGGAAAATGTCAGCCACAGGCTCAAAAGTGTATAGAATGGCCCCCCTCCCCCACAAGCTACATACACCAAACACACAGGGAACCTCACCATGCCACCTGCTCCTCTACAATCTCTCCAAGTTGGGGATGGATTACATTTCAAGTGTCCCAGTGACAGACACCCTCTCCCCCAAAGATTATGCCAGTGCTGTCTTTGGAAAAGAATGCTGCAGTTACAGGACTCTATGGAATGGCTCAGGAACAAGCCAGTGATACCAAACTCACAGGAAAACATCACCTGGACAGACTCCCCCAGCCACACACTGGAAGCAAGGCCAGCATCCCCCCTACGCTCGCAGCACCCCAAATCTCCAAATGCAGATTTGGAATGTCAGAAAGGCAGACATGACGAGACTTCTGGGGCTAACCCCACAACAGCTTAGTGGGCACCTCAGCCTCACCAGATGAGCAAGGGAGGCATGCCCACAACTCTCACAGTCCCCTCCTAGGCTGAAACACACAGGTCTAGAGCACACCCATCAACTGTGGTGAATTCTTCTACTGTACAAAGGAATGGAAGCACATGCCAAGCTTCCCAGGCCACCCCTGAAGTCTCAAAAGGCAGGTTCAGAATGATAGAATAAATAATAAATAAATAATCTTTCAATTTATTGATCGCTCAATCCTTGCAGAGCTGCTGGCTCTGAGTGATTTACAGTTACTCATTTCACAAGGGACTAACAATGCTTTTTAGGGGTAAGGGAGGACAACACATACAATCTTTACATAGCACACGTTTTGCAGCTGATGGGGATTTGTTCAGTTGGAACTCAGACGTGATCCGGACAGCATTTTCCCCACTCGGCTTGGCTTGGCTGGATGACATCAACTCTTCCTCTCCAGGACTCTTCGGGTCGCAGCTCCATACTGCCACCGCCTGGCCGGAACAGCCCATTACAGGCTTCTTGATGCCAAAGAGATCTTCTAGGCTTTCTATCTTGTGAGCTGAACCTTCCGTTCACCGGCTAACACCTCCCCCACGGAGGGGGGGGGGTTGGTGTGCCCACCCTCTCTAAGGAGTGGCACCCATTTTATCTACTCGCCAAAGCTTTTGAACTGCTGGGTGGACGGTGAGCTGGGGACAAGGCTGGTAGCTCACACCAGCACGGGGCTAGAACTGACAGCAGTTCTGTTCAGCTCAGATGTTACTTGTAACCAGAGGATAAATCCCCTGTGCCACCGCTCCGAAAGACAGACATCCCCAGAGTTTCAACAGGGGTCCCCCAAAGTAACCCAAGGACAGCTTGACAGGCACCCTTGGCAAGCCGTAGAACCCAGCGAGGCATACCCACAATGCTCCCAGGTCCCCTTAGGCCCAAACACATAGGTTCCCTGGTCACAGCCAATGTTCCCTCTAAGCTGTAGAGTCTTGTGAGCCAAAATTCAACTTTGTGAGCTACTGGCATTAAAGCTGTGAGCAAGCGACTTGGCTACTGCATGAATCAGTTTGCTCTGGAGCCATCCTTCCTGGGCTAAGACAAAAATGTATGAGCCAGAGGCAAAAAAACTGTGAGCTAGCTCACACCAACTCAGCTTAGAGGGAACGCTGGTCACAGCCCACCCCTAGGTGAAATTTCTGGTTATTCACCATCAGTGGAACACATCGTACAGATAAGAGATCACCTGTTGTGAATTGTATAAATGCAATGGAAAGGGGTAGTCAAATGGGGGCTCACTTGTACAGGCAGATGTTTGTTGAGATAGATGTTTGCTGAGGTGGATATTGTACCAACAGGTAGGTGTAGTGTTATGAGGTAGATGTTGTTTCATGAGGTAGGTGTTGGGTGAGAGATCCCACCCTCACCCAGCAGAAGTGGCCATCCTCCCACCCCAGTGCCAAGGGTGCAATCTGCAAGCCAGATCACCCAGAGAGGAGGAGGAATGGGTGGATGCACAGGGGGACAACAGAAGGCCTGGAACTTACCCTGTGAGGTCTAGAGAGGGGTAGCCAAGCACGGGGAGGCTGACCTTCAGGAAGGCCAACTCATCCACTCTAGCTGTATCCAGGCGGAGCATTGGGGGCTGAGAATGTCTCCCAGGTAAGAGAATATCCACTCATTCAGGAGTTCCAGTGGGTGGGTAAGTCCAGGATGAGGCAGTGCTCAGGCTCATCCCCCTCCCCCTACCTCTCATGCACCAGACAGGCAGACTTGATACTACACAAGAAGTGGGCAGCCAGGCATTGGCAGGTCTCCAGCAAGAACCACATCTTAAGGGTGGCAGCATCCCAGGTGGCCTTGACAGTGCTCCCCAGCCCTACAGCATCCTTCACTACCTGGTGAAGCATGTGTGCCAGGCAGACAATGCCCTTGAGATGCACAGCCTTCACTGCTGCCAGCATGTTGGCGCTGGCATCCATGACCATGCAACCATGGACAAGCAGAGGTCCATCAGTGGCTATTAGCCACAAGGTATAAATAGGAACTCTCAGTCTGGGGGCAAGTGATGCACTGTATTCTTGGTACTTGGGGGGGGGGCAACAGTTGGGAGGGCTTCTCATGTCCTTGCCCCACTGCTGGACCTTCTGATGGCACCTGGTATTTTTGGCCACTGTGTGACAGAGTGTTGGACTGGATGGGCCATTGACCTGATCCAGCATTGACTTCTCTTATGTTCTTATGTTGCTGCAACCCACCCATTCCTTCAAGCTACTCTGTATCATGGTGGTGATGTTTCGTACTGTGTGGTCTGCATCCATCCCCTGTGCATGGAGCAGAACCACTTTGTAGCCCAGTGGCAGGACTGTCACCTCCTGGGGCCTGGCCCATGCCCCGACAGTCCAGACAGAGAGGTCATCTGGTTGCTACCAGTGGGTGGTAAGAGAAAGGTAGCTGTGCTGCTGGCTGCTCCAGAGGTCCGCTGTGAAGTGCATGGTTCTGCCTTGCACTCTGTAGAGCTCAGCCTTGACCACCGCTACTGCAGAGTGATGCATAGCGAGCAAGACTTGTCGGCTCATGGTCCTCCATGAGGGGACAGAGTACCAGGGAGACAGGTTTTGCAGTAGCTGGCGCAAGGCTACATCATCCATAAGGGGAAAAGGTTGGCCATCCACAGCAATCATCTTGCCAATGAGGCAAGTTACTGCTTCCTGGCAATTTCTGGATGGCACTGTTAGTGTCCCCAAGGGAATGACCTCTTGGAGGGTGGCCTGCCTTAATTCCCCACCCACCACAACCTGAGCGTGGGAGCCTTTCTTGGAGGGGCCTTCTGCACCCCCTCTGCATATCCCTGTGAGCAGAGAGATGGGGTGGTTTAGAGCCCTGAGTCCACCTAACACCCTCAAACTCCATCAGGGGAGAGGAATTGCAATCAAAATATGGGTCCTCAGCTAAGGAACCCACTCGCTAAGCCCTTCTGCTGTGCTTTGTGAACAGAGAGATGGGGTGGCCCAAAGCTTTGAGTCCACCTAACACCCCCAAACCCCAGCAGGAGAGAGGAATCACAATCAAAATGTGAGTCTGCAGCTGAGGAACCCACTAGCTAAGCCCCTCTGCTTGGCATGAGCTGAGGGGTAGTGTGGCTCAGAGTTCTCAGTCCACAACATCCCCAAACCCCAGCAGGGGAGAGGTATCACGGTTAGGAGGGAATGTGCTCTGCTAGTCTGCTTTTAACAAGTTCCCTGCCTCTCTGTGTAACTGTGAACAGCCAACAGAGGAGAGGTTGCAGAGGTGAGCTGGGGGTATATAGCATTCTGATCCCATAGAGCAGAATGGGAACTCTGTTATGGACAGCCAGCACTGCCTGTTAAGCTTTGGAGGGCTCCTATTGGTGTTTCCAAGGCTGGAGAATCCCCTCCCTCATTGCCTTGGAGTTTGGTAAACAGTTTAATTGAGAGGAGACAGTCTGTCTAGAAATTTGATCATTCACGAACTGCCACAAACAGCACCAAAGTTCATGAAATGTTCATGCCAGTAGCCCTTCCACAAACATTGCTTTGCGAAGTACGAACCGGCCAAAATTCATGACAAACTTTCCTTCATGAGCTGGTTCACGTCCATCCCTATTTTTTACTGTTTAAAAGTTTGAGTTGAATATGTTCAACAAGGTCCTAAAATTTATACAATTGGATTGATGCAATCTGAAATAATATCTAGTTTTGACAAAACTAATGCAGAAGCAGCAACCATACATACACTTATAGCAGAGTGAGCTCCAGTGAATTCAGTAGGGCTTACTTCTGAGCTGACATACCCAAGGTGGCATGAAAGTCATGCTTTGGCATTTCATTCACTTTTAGGGACCTTTCCTGGGTTACATCCTACTGCTCTTTTCAGCTAATGGTGTTATATGTCTACCACTGTATGAGACTCATCTGCTAGGGGACGAGACTCCTACCCCAGAGGAAGGTTCCTTGGGTTGGAGGAAGGCACCACTCTTATAATGAATGGAGTGGAAGGTTACAACATAATGCAGCCTTAGCATTTTGAAATAGGAGTCTACACTTGCCTGCATCATTTCATTTGCAGTCGTATTTATTCAGATAACCAAGTTGCTAGGTCAACATGAGCCACATGAAGTGTTTCCAGTATTAACCAACTCAATAACTGTATGGCCGTTAAAACGACTAGCTCATCTACTGCACAGTTTCATTTAGCTAAAGAAGAATTGTTGCAGAAAATGCTCAGAAGTGATCTATGCCCCAACCATGTTGTGATAGAAAAGCATGTATACCTGATACTTTAACACATTTTATTTGGGTGACTTCACTGTCGTCCTGATTGCCACACTTGAGAAAGAAAAGAGAGTTTCTCCCATACCCAAGATGAATCTGTGCTGGCGTTACCCCAAGCAGGGGTGAATGTAAAGCAAGTTTCTTACTGGTACTGTGTCCCTCAGAAAAACAGAGATACCTCTTTGGCCATTTCCTTATTGTACATGCCCCTGAAAGATCCAGCTTCCTTGTTTAAGCCATCTCAATGTGCTGCACATTGAGGTTTCCCTGGCACCCATGATATCACATACATGAATTCATTTTACTGGTGGTCCAAACCTGCATTGAGGATAGAGTTGCTATGATATCATTTAGTGTGAGTGTGTGTGTGTGTGCATACACACACATACACCTATATATGTCCCACTAAGCTGCAGTTAGCCACAACAGGAAGCAGCTTGTTTCTAATGCCTGTGGGCTCTCCAACCTCTTTCCTTTCTTATGCAGAGCAATTAAGGATGCCTGATTTGAAACAAACTTCAGTTCTGCATGATGGATGACTACAGGCACCTGGGTAAATTGGAGCTTGTTTATCCTCACAAACCATAATTTAATTCTGCTTTAGGATCCCTGCTTATGGGAAGTAAACAAACTCTGATTCATCTGCCTATATTTGTACATTACAGAGAACCAGAATTTCTTTCAAACCAAGAATCCTTAGTTGCAAATGAGGTGGGAGAAAAGCAAAGGGTATTTGTGGGCATAAGAAACAAGCCATGTTTGTGGCTGCCATGACAAATTGCAGCTGAGCGTGATGTCTGAATGTGTTATTTCTGAAATAACCGTGTGTTCTGAAAATGGCCTTAGCAATAGTGATCCAGAAAAGGACACAAGCGTTTAAATCTGTCCCCCAGCTGTGCATTCTATCCCACCTCTGTGGCTTCCCTGTTTGCCCATGTTTTTTATATTTCTAATTCTGTCTTTTTTGCCAAAAGGTGGCATATAAGGAGGGCATATTAAATCACTAATGAACTAAGTAAATCATTATACAAAATTTTAATTGTTTTTTTTGGTTTTACTTATCATTTCCTGTTATGTTGTCTTTGTGCTGAAGGTGTTGTGTATGACACACTAATGTTGAAACACCAGTGCTTGTGTGGCAGTTACAACAACCACCCTGAGCATGCCGGAAGAATTCAGAGCATCTGGTCAAGGCTGCAAGAAAGTGGGTTGCTAAACAAGTGTGAGGTAATCCAAATATGACCACAGAAATATGTTCTTGTTAAGAATCACAATATTCTGTCCCTTGTGTGAGCACCAAACAGATTGTCCTGGAAATGCCCCTATATATATATATGATATGAACTGTTTACCATACACACTAAGTACAGATAAAGGTATTTTTAACATTGTTTTAAATAATCTCACCCCTGATATACAGTTTACAGGTTAATGATGATAGAATTCCTGGATCAGAACACTAAACACACGGAGCTGCCTTATACTGAATCAGACTACTGATCTATCAAGGTCAATACTGTTTACTCTGACAGGCAGTGGCTCTCCAGAGTCTTTCATATCACCTAGTACATGAGCCTGTTTTTAAAAACTGGCAAGGGAATGAATGTGGGACCTTCTTTAGGCAAAGCAGATGCTCTCCCAGTAGGACATGACCTCCATAAGACTGCTTCAGTGAACCTGGTCTGTTCAAAGTGTTCATTGCTACTTCTGGTTGGAATGGCGTCTCCACTAAAATAAATGAGAAGGTCCCATACCTCTACAGTTTTGCTGGATCAGTTCATAGTATTCCAAAATGAAATCCAGATACCTCTGCAAGTAACCCTCATTAGACCATATAAACACCAAGATACTCCTTTTGTTGATATTTTTTGCTGTCAAATCACAGCTGACTTATGGCAACCTTGTGGGGTTTTCAAGGCAAGAGACATTCAGAGTTGAGGCTCAGAATGGTCATGATTAGAATAGGGCCAAACTACATGTTACGTTTATGAGTTGCTAACAAGAAGTGGCAGCATATCACAGCTCTGAGTCTCCAGTGTCAAAGTGACCAGGGGCCCAATTCAGATTGAGATTGTGTCATGGGGCTCCTGCCTTGCCCCATGCACAGTTGTTAGGGGCCAAAACTGCTCAGGAGCAAGGTGGGGCTTTATTTGCCTCTTTGGCGGGCTGTATGTGTAAGCATTCAGTACATATGCAGATCCCCCAATGGGGCAAATAACACCCCATCCCTGCAGCCCCTGGGGCTGTTTTGGCTTTCAAAAATGACCTGGACCAAAGTGAACCCCTCCCCCACCGCTCCTCCCTCTACACCATGGTCTCAAAACAAATAAGTTCCTTTTACACAGGGATTGTCACCTGAGACTCGCAGCTGTAATATGTCTGCAAAGTCCCCGTGGCAAACTCCTGAAAAGCATATTATGCAGTTTGGTCCTAGGTTAGATTAAGTAGAAGGTTTTAGTAGATGCAGCAAACAGGTGTATTATTATTTAGACAGAGGTTAAAACAGAGTGATTGTCTTACCATTTAGGATCCTTTCCTAAAACCTCCAAACTTAAAAAAAAATGCTGTGGTTTGTCCATATTTCATTTCTTTTAGGTCCATCATCATACTGTCATGCTTAGTTGTTCTCATAAAGATGGCTGTAAAATATTGATGTGATGGATGTTGGGTAAGGAAGCCAAGATTTACTATGCCACATGCGCTAACTGTGGTCGAGGCTTTATTTTAATTTATCCCTGTCCTGTGTTCATCACAGTTTGGTAAAATGCTTGTATTCAATTAAGCCAGTAGAACTGCTCTATTCACCTTAGAAATACTTAGAGGGAGCTTGTTTTTTTTTTCAGGCAGTGCTCCTTCTAAGCTGTGGAGTCCTGTGAGCAAAAATTCCACTTTGAGAGCTACTGGTATTAGAATTGTGAGAAAGTTATTTGGCTACTGCATAAATTAGTGTGCTCTGGAGCCATTCTTCCTGAGCTAAGACAAACATGTGTGAGCCAGAGGCTAAAAAACTATGAGCCAGCTCACACTAACTCAGCTTAGAGGGAACACTGGTCAGGGGCTAGATTTGTAATTCTCTACATTTTTAAGCATGCGAATGTTCACCCATTAGCTGTTACACTGGAAGTTATACATGGTGCAGGAACTTTGGAAGATGAGCTCCCTTTTAAATTAAATGAATTACACATGCTCATGCATAATCAAATTTGGTAGGGTCTTATGTTTCTGGGGGGTTACTAATGGAGTAGTTTCCAGTTAGGCTTTGCCAGCCCTGAATTACAGGATCTGAAAACCATCACACTGAAGTTAAGTTAAATTATGTTTGCAATCCTAAGCATACTTAAATTGAAGTAAATTCTCATTGAACTCAGTGGGACTTAGCTCTAGGTAAACATATTCAAAATCCAGCTACAAATCATTCCAAAGGTCTTTTAAAACACACTAACTGTTGTTTTTCCTCTCTTTAGGTACAGTGAGGTTTATAGCACTTCAGTGTGTCTGGGTTAATAGACAGAGTGCTACAATGACTAATAATTACCCCATCCTATTAAATATTTTAATTTGCTTTTCTATAGCATATACAGTTCTCAGTAGAAGTGAGGGGCCTTCCATAGTACCAGCCACCTGGGGTTTTCTTCGTTGATTTGCTATGCAGTCATCTGAAGTACATTCCAGGAAAAACATTTATATTGCACCACATCCCTTTTCCCTTCCTTCAAGAAAATACATATAACTTTTAAGAGAATGAAAGACCGTTATCAATCACCTGACGTATGAGGAACAGTGTACTTTTATCAGTCCCACCACCAGTCCCACAAGAACAATTATGAAGTTTATTGTCTCCACAAAGTAACCTAGTTTCTTGGTGTTATACAACTGTGTCTCAGACAAATACTATTCCTCTGCCACAATTTTTTCCTCAGGACTGAGAGGCTGTATTCAGACATCACGTTGAACTATGGTTTGATCAAACTTCTGTTAGCTGCAAAGTCTAAATCCAGGCAACCTGACAAACCAGGATTTGTCGATGGGTGTAAACAAGGGGTTTAAATTAGGCATTTTTGGTGGTTTATTATCCATAGTTTGTACTAGTGGGGCTTGTTGTGAATTCACAAATAAAAGTTTGATGAGTTTGTTGTAGTATCCTGGTCACAGAGAGGATAGTTCAGAGAGGATACTTTCTCCATTGTTAGACAGAGAAGAGGCAAACACCAGACAGACCAGGATTTGTTACACAAATCACAGTTCGAACAGACTACGGTTTATCATGATATCTGGATGCAATTAGAGAGGATTTCAGGAAAATTAGTATTTAAGTCCCATCATGGCCTATGCTATCAAGCATGCCTAGTTCAGAGCACCTTATACTGAAATGAGAGTTGCCATGAAAAATTTGTATTAAGCAAAATTTGAAAAGTTTGTGGCTCTTACCTCGACAAAGATCTCACAAAATCTCAGGGAACTGAAATGAATATCAATAAGGCTACCAAAATTTATTTGGTTGATTCTGCATATCCCCATGTTTTAACTATATTTTACTTTCATCTGAGGAAATCTGACAGAAGCTGAAAGGATTTCAATAAGACTAGCAAAATTTCTCAGGGGGGAAAAGTAGCTATTATTAAATTAAGTTGTTTAGGACTGAAGTGTAAGTCTTTGGATACTGCCCTGAAGTATATTTTCCATTCGGTCACATGTTCCAGTTTTAAATTGGTAAAAGAAAATAGAGACTTCCTCTACTTCCTTTGGAGACCATTTTGCAACTAGGTCCAAGTGTTAGGCAATATATTCCAATTCTGATTCAGGGAAAGAAGCCCAAATTCAGTTTATTATGTATATTGACCATCACAGAAAATAGTCTCTTTCCTTCTGGGTTTTTTTTTTTTTTTTGGTCTTTGAATGTGACTAATGATATCATTGGAATTCTGCTGAGCAGGGGTCATTTCCTGCAGGAGCACACAGGAGCAGAGCTCTGGCAGTAAAGAGCCCAGGGGGTGGGCACATGCAACAATCCCCACCCCCTGCTGCCAGCAGCCCCAGGCCACAAGGAGTAAGAAGCCTCTTTCTTTCCTTCTTTCCCTCTTTCCTTCCTTTTTTCTTTCTTTCCCTCAATCTTTCCTTCTCTTTCTCTTTCTCTCCTTCCTTCCTTTTTTATTTCCCTGCTTCTCTGTCGCTCTTACTTGCTTTCATTTCTTCTTTCCTTATCTTTTGTTCCGTCTTTGCGTCCTTCTTTCCTTCTCTCTTTCCTTCTTCCTTTTTTCTTTCATTCCCTCCTTTCCGTCTCTTTCTCTCCTTCATTCCTTCTTTTTATTTCCCTGCTTCTCTCTGTCGCTCTTACTTGCTTTCATTTCTTCTATCCTTATCTTTTGTTCCATCTTTCCCTCCTTCTTCCCTTCTCTTTGTTCCTTCCTTCTTTCCTTCTCTTTCTTTCCCTGTTTCCCTCTCTCTCTCTATCCTTCCTTCTTTCCCTCCTTCTTTCCTTCGTTCTTTTTCTAATGAGATGTTAATGAGCCCCTGCACCTCTTTTTCTACGAAATGACCCCTGCTGCTGAGGATCTATAAATCTTTCTGATGATCACTTCTTCATGGCTCATGCCATATAAAAATTTGAGGTTTTGTCACCAACAGTTTGCTTAAAATACTGTTTTCCAGTTAGGCAAAGCCCCCTTAGATTTCTCATAAGTGAGACAAAGAAGAGTTGGGGTTTTCTCTACCTTAAGGAGCCTCAAAGGGGCTTACAATTGCCTTCCCTTCCTTTCCCCACAACAGACACCCTGTGAATTAGTTGGGGCCGAGACAGCTCTGAAGAACTGTGACTGACCCAAGGTCACCCAGTTGGCTGCATGTAGAGGAGGTGGGAATCAAACCCAATTCTCCAGATTAGAATCTGCTGCTCTTAACAAGTACACCACACTGGCTCTGAGGGAAAATTTAATGCAAATGATCATGAAGACAAAACAGTAAATATTTATTGATATCACTATAGTAGGAAATTCTGTGACTCTGAGTTTCAAAGGGAAACATTTATGCCATGATATCAAAAACCTTTGCTGAATGTTACCAAACATGCAAAAAGAGATTTCATTGCTGATAGATAAGGGTGAAATATTTAAAGATCCAGTCCAGGGTTGGATATTAAAATGGTTCAGGAGCAAGTTGAGTAGCCCTTATGGGCTTCTTGGCTTAGACCCAGCTAGAAATGATGATCATGGGTGTAAGCTCACCCATTGTTTCCTCCTGCACTACTACCAGCTAGATGGAAGCCCTGCACAGGGGCCACTTGGCTCAGACCCAGCCAGCAATGGTGAAAATAATAGCTTAGGAGGAGGCAATGGATAAGGCTGCACCCATTCTGGCTAACTATGTCTGAAATGAGTGGTCCTGTAGTACTACTGGTTTCAATGGGGTCTGGCTTGACTTGTTCCTGGCCACCAGCAGCCCGCCCCCCTGACACTGGCCTACCAGAAATTTTCATAGCAAGTTATAGGACTAATTTGTCCATAGGATTGTCATGTCCTGCGCTCTAGCTGGCGGGGGATGGGAGGGAGCTTTCTGGGAGTGGGGGGAGGGTGACATCACTGCGCATAACATCCCCGATGTGATGATGCCACATGGAAGTGACCTCATCACACCGGGGATGTCGCGTGGCAATACTCCGGTATTTTGGGCAAAAATGTATGGTGACCATAGAGTTTTGCCCAAAATTCCACAGCGTTGCCGTGCAACATCCCTGGAGTGATGATATCACTTCCATGTGATATCATCACACTGGGCAGGGCTTTCCCCTGCTGACCAGCTGGCCAGTGGCGAGCAGAAGCCTACAAAATCAGGGAATCCCCCACTCCCACCTGGTGGCTGGCAATCCTATTTGTCCATGAGACAAAGTGTATTTCAGTCCTGCACAACTTGTGACTCACCACCTATCATTTATTTTAGGCTCCAGATTTCCTCCTTTTTTCAGGGTCAGGCAACAAAGCAGGAGATTATTTAGTCCTTGGATTTGCTATGCATAGTTGTTGAGCTGTGTTTGGCTTTAGTAGGGCTACTCTGGTCCATGTGGTCAAAAAGCTATACAGGTTAAAGCCTGTTCAACCTCCTATGTAGCAGGCATTGATCCACTCACAGAGTAGAATAAGTCAAGTCACTCATAATGGGATCTCTGACTGTGAATGTATGTACTAGACCAGGGGTTCATTTAGTTTAGCACTGCATACTTTGACCGGCACTGAGATCTAAGGTGTTACCCAATCCTGATAAAGATGCTGGGGACAGATCCTGGGACCTTCTGCATTCAGAGTAGGTACTCTGACAGTGAGCTGTAACTACTAAAAAATTGGCTGTATCATGGGCGGCCAGGCCACATTTATATCTTGCAGAATAAAAACGGAACCCACCTCTATGCTACCTATCTCCTTCCTGCTATATGACCTGTTCACAAAAGGTGTGATGCCACATTTTCCCAATTCAAGAACTTGTTGGGAGTTGAACACGGGGGGGGGGACTTATACCCCAAAGCAAGAACCCTGACCTTAGACTAACAAGCCAGGCCAACAAATCCCAGTTTACAGCCTCGTAATTTGTAGTGGACTGCCCTTCCTTGCATTCCATGCCCAACTATGCACTCATCACCAATTGCACACAATTGAGTCTCAGCAGTCACATCCACCTCATCTATCTGACCCTCCAACCTAAACATAGTAGCTTCCACATCTCATACTCCCAACTTGTGTGCAGCCTCAGCTTCTGCTCCAATTTTTGCCTTTCATCCTTTGTTGCTGATAAGTGCATGGACTCAGGGTGCACTGGTAGAATTCTGTCCCTATTGCAGTAGCCCCCATAGTGATTGGATATAAACCACTGCAAGAGTTTGACCCTGAAAGTGCCCTCCAGGATTATTTTCAAAGTCAAAAAGAATTTTGAGGAGTAGTTCATGCATGTAGCCAATCACATTAGTAACATCCTTGATTCAGGTAGTGTTTGTAGAATTGTCAAGCACCTTTTGAATTGTGCTGTCTAGGTTACCTGAACAGTCGAGCTGGTCCCATGGAGAACTTCTTAAAGCATACTAGTTATAGATTCTGCAACTTCTATAGGCAACTTATTTCAGCGCCCATTTTTTTTCTGACCTCAAGTTTAAATATCCATTCTAAAATTCCTTTCATGACCACTGAATTCAGACTCCCTTGGTTTTCTCTTTGGGGGCACTGTAGATTTGTTCTTCACAGAGAGCAAAATAATTTTTGTGAGGGAGGCACACAAATCGATACCATGGAATTTAATGGTAGCCCACTGTGGGATAAGTGGTCATGAGTTTAGCCCATTGGCTCCTCCAAGTGGCTCTCCCGTCAAACTGATTTTAGACCAGCCTAGTCTACTGTGCCAGCAAACAGTCTGCAGCTGACCTCTGGAGATGGAAACCTCACACTGTCCTGCTGTTGTCCGGACATAAATGCTGTGGAAAGTAACTTGCAGTTCATATCATAGCGCAGGTTGGGCATTTCTATGTCTGTTTACCAATATACAGGTCAACTGTTCTCATGGACAAGGAAATAAGAGTATTCTGAAGCCTTGTGATTGAAAAACTGTGCTGCTTTTGGTGTTCTTTTATCAATTTGAATTAAACAAACTAACAGAGGCGGCATTTATTTATGACATGTAAAGTACTGCTTTATTCAATCATATATGATTTACCTTGAAATCTAAGCATTTGTTAAAAACCATCCATGCTTTTCCTTTTTTCAAGCTAGCATTCAACACATCAGTGTCACATAGCTGTATTATGCAATTGCAGCCCATTATTAATCCTATTAAATGTTATTTTGGATTTGATTCTTCCCCCTCCTGTACATATTATCAGTGGAATATTGTAGACCTCTGCTGCTTTCTTTCAGCGGATCCGAGGTCGAAAAGCCAGTCTGGAGGAAATACAGCTGGTTCACTCTGAACATCATTCACTGCTGTATGGCACCAGCCCCCTGAACAGACAGAAGCTGGACCCCAGGAAAATCCTCGGTCTGTAAGGGCTCTATTCTACTGAGAACAGCACATTCCAACAATGTCATTAGTCATAGCTGGTGTCAGTTTAAGATACTTGGCAAGCAGTGTAAAAAAGAAAAACAAAAGTATTGCTTTTCCCCCAACTGCATTGCATTGTGGAAAGAGAATGTTGCAGTGGCAGCCAACATAGATTAGGAAAAGGGCCTTGCTGGAAATCAGCAATAGACATGTCTGCCTGTTTGCTGTAATATCATCTTGATATTAACCCTTGATGGAAGACTAAGCACAAATATTTATATCTGTGATTGCAATGAGTAGATGGGCATGTAGACTCTCAGGGTCATATTTGATTCATATCATGACTGAAACATTGCTGCTTATATGCTAGGATCCCTGCTTTAGGAGGGGAGATTTGCCAGACTGTCATTTGTGGTCTGCTGGTACCTATTTTAAAATGTATTTCATGGGCATGGAAATCAAATGACAAGGGGTACCAGAGCTTGATTTGCCTTTTTATTTTAGGCTTAGCACTCATGTTTGCACAAGGGACATTTCATATTTCCTGCAAGAAAAAAAATAACCCTGAAAGAAATTTGGACCACCACCTTCAATAGAGAGCTGGAAAAGAAAAGATCAGCTGTTCAAATGTAATTTGATTCATTTGGGAGAACTCAAGAAATGCACATATTCTTCATTAGGTCAATGTTACCTGAAAAATACAGCTTAAATAAAACATATGTGATACATAAATTTAATTCAACATGCTGTAATTTGAATTTGGATGAGTAAATATCTTTAAGAAAACTTCTTTTGTGAAATGAGCCTAACATTTTGAAAAACAATTTATTTCTTTACCCAACAGCAATTAAAATAAAGGTAAGAAATAGGTTGCTTCAACTCCATGATATATTAACTACCAATCTCTATCCAGGTTGCTTGAGTCAAATTTAAATATTCATTTATGCTGTAATTGCCTCATTTCTCCCTAGAGAAGCAGGTATTCCCAGTAACACGGCAAAGACCCTTTGTATTGCACACCCTCAAATTCCTAAAAGCATCTAACATAACCTCACATATCCCTCCCTGACTCTCTAGGCCTTTTAGAAAACTATATTAGTTTGGAAAGGAAACTAGTGTTGCCTCTTCCAGTGTACAGTTGTGACAGGTGCACATTTGTATTATGAGTTGCATCCTTAAAGCTATTTTTTGAATCCCGAATCACCAATAGATTTTGTTTTAAATATATGTTAATTACAAGGGTACCACATGCACTATTTGTTTGGCAAAATCACTGGATTTCAGCTATCAAGTTTTTTCTATACAGCTACAAGCAAGTAGATTATCTGTTGTCTTTCTTTTTAAAAAATGCTTATATTAGAAAATATTGGACCAGTTCCACCTGTTCCATTTGCCACTAAATTCAGCAGCCTGCATGAGCTACTCAGAAGGAGTTAAGCACTAGATGTCTGAGAGCCATGTGTGGACCTCCCATTGACTATGACAGTTGGGTGCACTGGAGTTTTCTTGGAATCATTCCCCTATCAGGGCAAAGGAAGGGAGCTGGAAGGTCCTCTTTTGTCTCTGTTAAGACCAGACTCATCTGTATCAACCCAGATCATTTCCTGCTGCAGTCTGCCCAGCATTGTTCAACAAGATTAGGAGCAAATAGGGGAATTAAAGACTCAGGGAAGAAGAAGGATGGTTGGGGTATGCGGGGGAGTGGGACAGGACAGGAAGCATAAAAACCTATGCCAAAGCTTTAGGTATTGGGGCTTTAAAGAGATTCTGGGTGAATCTGTGAAGGAAGAGAGATACTAGGAAAAACACGGAAGCAGGTTGCACAGGGGCAGAAACAGTGAATCTGTGAAGGAAGAGAGATACTAGGAAAAACAGGGAAGCAGGTTGCACAGGCTGGCTGCAGTCACACACACTAAATAATCCACTTTCAATCCACTTTCAATGCACTTTCCAACTGGATTTTGGCAGTTCACACAGTAAAAATCCATTTGGAAAGTGCTCTGAAAATGGATTGAAAGTGGGTTATTTAGTGTGTGTGACCACAACCAGAGAGTCAGCAAAATCAGAAGTAATATGGATAGGATCATTCAGCCCTGGGACCTAGTCTGGAAGCCGGGGCTCAGGCTGGGGAGACAGGCAGCCTTTAAGCAGATGGAAAGCTTCCAGTGAGCCCATTCATCTGCCCTTGGCTGGGGAGCAGGGAGAAGGAGAAAAGAGAATTTTGGCCTCAAACGAGGTTGGAGTGAATCAGGGAAGAAAGGACAGAGTGAAAAACCCGGGGACAAAAGCTTGGCAGAAAGTCAGAGAAATCTGAATCCTAGTTACTTCACTGGAGTACTTTTTTCTGGCAAGGTAACTAGGAGTCTGAGCTCTGTGACGGGACCTTTTGTATACTTATTGGTTTGAATAAAGCTGATTTAGTTCCAAACGGAGACTATGGAGGGGCAAGAATGGAGGCAGCAGGGCTCACATCCCCCAGAGAACCTGATGGGGGAGCTGCCTCCTGCCTGGGTGATATGGATGTGGAAAAGGATGGTTAATGTTCAGTACTGTCTACTGTACACATCTTTCTGAAAGATGTCTCAGGATTTTTTAAACCTCCTTTTTTGGGAAAACATGATTACTGGTAGACATCATAAGTGGCTTGAAGACTGTGACCTTTGAACAACATCCAATGGGAACTAACCACTGCAATTAAAGTTACCCATATCTGAATGTCTACAACAGGCATTAAAAACATTCCTAGGTGGTTTATAGTTTTATTAAGCAAAAGCCACCATTTGTCAAAGGGCAGAAAGTATTTACAATTTAATGGTATGTCTTAATTAAATGGAAACTGGTGGATTAAATAACAGCCCCTTGGTTTTCCCCATCACCCTGCCCTTACACACACCACAGATGCTTCCTAGATACTCCACTGGGAATCTAATGGAACGCTACAGACAGTAAAATAACATTTATATTGCACAAAGCTCTGCTATTTGGTTAAAGAAAACACTCAGATTTTATGTTGCATTAACAACAAAAGGGGGGAGTCAGGTGAAGGAGAAAGATATTTAACGCGACTTACTGAAAATGGTTTTTACAGGTGGTTAACAAACGATACATTAGCATCCTAATTTAGGAATGCAACAAGACAAAGGGGAAGGTAGTTAAATATGTGTTTATATCCTACTGAAGTTGATGGGATTTAACACAGTGGTTGTAGCTAAGCATTTTACTTAAGGACCTTCTCTCCTAAATGAAACGGTGCTGCTGCTACAAGTTCCTTTTAACTGTTACGCCACCTTTGAGAAGTGTGTCGTCTGATGCCTTATATTTCATTACATTACCATTCTAAACTGTATCACATATTATTCTTCCTGTAATGGAAGCTTTCATGATATGCAGACTAATATATTCAGGACAACTGAGAACAATTGCTTGCTTTCAGGGATTTTCCCCACCTCACTAAATCCCCCCCCCCCCCAAGGAATCAAATATTTCTAATTATGGCAAAGTTATGAATGCCAAAATATTTGTGTCATTTGGCTAAATGCTTCATTGTAAGCAGAACTGACACGCAAACAGTCCATGTAAAACGTGTGAATATATTACAGTTTCAAGGCACTTTTTCATTCTCATACCAGCCATCGTTGACCCTAAGGGATGATAATGAAAATCACTGTAGACCCTTAACCGCTCCTGATTTTTGTTACCTTGCAATTGCATATATGCTCATATACAAAACCTGGCAGTGAAACACCAAACCAAAAACTTTCAACAAAAGATTTGACAGAAGCTTCAGAAGGCCAGGGTGTAGCATGGATTCCACCTCTGAAATATGTAATTATGTTTTGCACTAGATTGGGTTTTTCTGGATTAAGGTGAATGGCCTACTGCCTTGCCAACTTCCTAGAAGTTAAAATTATTTTTTCTCGTGATTGATAAAAGGTTTTATAAACCCATTATACAGCACTAACTCCTGAGTCAGAACGGATAGTGGTCCTAGAAGATCTTAGATCATTTTGCCTTACACTTTAGCACTGATTACTTTAACTAAGGGCCTTGGGAATGTTTAGTTTGGAGAAGAGGAGATTGAGGGGGGACATGATTGCTCTCTTTAAATATTTGAAAGGACGCCATTTGGAGGAGGGCAAGGAGCTGTTCCAGTTGGCATCAGAGGATAAGATTCGAAGCAACGGGTTTAAATTAGATGCAGAAAGGTATCGGCTGGATATTAGGAAAAACGTTTTCACGGTCAGAGTGGTTCAAAGGTGGAATCAGATGCTAGGGAGGTGGTTAGCTCCCCTTCACTGGCAGCTTTCAAGAAGAGGCTGGATGAATATTTGTCAGAGATGCTTTAGGCTGGACCTGCATTGGGCAGGGGGTTGGACTAGATGGTCTGTATGACCCCTTCCAACTCTATAATTGTATAACTGAGAGCTGATCTTGCTTCTTTCACAAGTTTGTCACAGGGACTTGCAGCCATACTGTAGCTGCAAGTACTTAGAGGAAAAAAGCACAGATGGGCCCAGTTCTGATCAGGACAGCAGAGCAGGGGGAGGAAGGGCTCCTGCCTCACCACCATGCCATTTTCAGCAGCCAAAATGACTTGGGTGTGTGTGTGCGGGGCCAGATTTAAATACACCCGATTGGGAGGCTGCACATGCAAGCATTTAGAGGACTTGGGTAAGATCAATTGAAAAAGCTGGTTGGGTCCAACCACTTTCTTTTATCTATCATGTCTCTGGTCTAAAGCCTTCTATGGCTTTTGTGTATAATTCCAGAGTTTCTTCTACTTTTTGCTACTGGTGATGATTGAAGCACTTAAATAATTATTGAAAATGATTTGTTATTAAATTATCGAATAACCTTAATGTGTACTGTTTTCTCCTCTTTGTGATACACAGGAAGTGTGCCTCAAAAGCTCTTTTCACTGCTGCCCTGTGGAGGACTTGGGGTAAGTAGACTTTGCTTAAGTATAACAAGATGGCAGAAATAGCTTGCACTGTATTGGTCAATGGCTAAAATGCCAGCAGTTAAAAGAGGCTAATATTTAAACTACATTGTCCTTATCAAGATATCATACAGTTAGGAATAGATGAAGCCGCTTTACTCAGTCAACTCATGCAAAATTGCCAGCAGCTCTCTAAGGTTTTGAAACAAAGGGCCAAATGGGTCTGGGTTCTCTGACCTAACTCAGTTTCTCTTCAGCCATATAGCAGCTGAAGCAAATGGCTTTTAAAAAATAAAGGTGAACTCAAATGGACTCAGAACACTGCTGTGGGGGAGAGGAAAAGCTCCTGCCTCCCCCATCAGCTGCAAGCTCCACACACAGAGAATACTCCACAACTCTATTTGTTAATTAAATGTAGCCAATGTTAGTTCCCAAAGGAGCTTGCAGGAATAAAACAACAGGTCTACAAATGACATTAAAATTCAATACAAATGAGTTGGATCCAGGGCAGTGTTCCCTCTAAACTTTGTGCATGAGCAGCTGCTCATTAACACAGGAAGCCCCGCTGTTACCCCAAATGCTATGTGTCACCCAAAACAGGCTGTCTCTTGGTTTTGTTGCTGTCACCTGTTTTTGTTGGAGGAATTAGCAAGGAGACACAGACTGCAGACCCATGAGCAGTTTGCACTGATATAATTGTGGTACCTTTGAGGATTTAAAAAGCACAATCAGACAGCAACATCTGCCTTCCGTGCCCCAGTCATCGCCACCTGTTCTGCCCTGCTTTGGAAATGGAGTTATCAGACACCGGGCAAACTCTGGTGTTTATAGATATCAGCACTTTCACCTCACATTTCCAGATGTCTGAACTCTCCTGGTGTGAGCTTAACCTAGTTGGGAAGTCTGATCACTCCGTTCCATTTCTGTTCCTTTTTAAAAAGTCATTTAGTGATGTGCGCATAACCGCATCTTTGGGCACACCAGCAAGCTTACAGCTGTCCTCTGAGTTGAGAAGGGGGGGGGAGGGCAGGCTGGGAAACCTCCTTTGTCTTTTTTCATGCGGGTTCCTCTGCCTACAGCACACAGGGAGGGGAAGGGGTGAATTGAAAAGATGAGTTTTTTTTCAGAGGGGGAGGCAGCCTCCTCCAGCTGTCAAAATGGAGTGCTGCTTCAAATAAGCAGTTATGTGCATATGCACAAGGCAACTTTAAAAAAAAGAAGCCACCCAACCACCCACTCTGCGGTCGCCTCAGAGAAATAATTCGAATGGTCGACCACGGGGCAGGAGCACAGTGAGGCCACTTCAGGGCGTGCTGTCTGGTCACTCCCTCCCGGCTTTGCAATACACAAGGTGGGAAAGGGGTTAATTGAAAAGGTGAGTTTTTTTCAGAGGGGGAGGCAGTCTCCTCCAGCTGCCGAAATGGAGCGTGCTCTGAATAAGCAATTATGTGCATAAAAAGAAGCCACCCAACCACCCACTCTGTGATTGCCCCACAGCAATAATCTGAATAGTCGACCACAGGGCGAGCTCATAGTGAGAGCCCTTCAGGGTGTGCTGTTTGGTCACCCTTTCCCGCAACAATTTAAACCGCTGCAAATAGAGATGCTACGAGATCACACCAAGCCTCCAGTATGACTGCAGCCAGAGCTTCTGGGGGGGGGGGGTAATCTAGTGAGATCCTCCTACCGGCATTTATGGGGATCTTTCCCTTTTGGGGAACTCCCAGAAATAAACCAGGCAGTTACTAAACCAAGAAAAGGTTGTTTTATTGAAAGAGGAAAATGGTATCAAAAACAACACCCATACAGAACTAAAAGTATACAGTTAAACACACACACACTAACAGGAAATATAGGTGGGAACAGAAATAGAGGAGGGTTTGGGGGGAATTATAGTTACCAGTCCAGAAGATCAGAGGTCCGAGGAGAAAAGCAAGATGGCCAGCATCATGGGTGTGCAGTTTGGATCCAGGAAAACACACAGAGCAATGGGGCTGAGCATGTCCAGTTATAGGGCAAATTGTTACCTGAGGGCATGGTGATGCAATTGCCCCTTGAAACAAAGCATTGATGGGTTTAACTAAAAATCTGAATAGTGTTCCCAGGAATGGACAAAGGGAGATGTTTGGTAGGAGTTCCTGATGCAAAACAAAGTTTGAGTTGAAACTCTGATTGCTTCCTCTGGTGATTCAGAGTGCTAATGGTTTTCCAGTTAAACTAACCACATGTCAAAAACACTACTTGAAGACCCTTCTTTTGTGTTGGATGAGAAACCTGTCTGTGTTAGGGGCTGCTTTTGTGAGAGAAAAGTGGGCAGAGGGAAGATGATGTAAGGCTGATAGGATATCCAGATAGTGTTAGCTCTGGGGCGAGGCAGGTCTGTTCCAGCTTCTGCAAACATTTGGGATGGAGGGAGAGGCCATGGCAGGATCTAGGGTTGCCAAGTCTGGTTTGGAAAATACCTGGGGACTTTGGGGGTAGATCCAGGAGAGTGTGGGGTTTGGGCAGGGGAGAGGTCTCAGCATGGTACAATGCCATAGAGGCCACCCTTCAAAGCAGCCATTTTCTCCAGGGGAGCTGATCTCTGTCAGCTAGAGATCTGTTGTAAAAGTGGGAGATCTCCAAGCCACACCTGGAGGCTGGTAACCCTACCAGGATCAGACCAAGATTTTACACCTTTTAGAATCAATGCCTAGACATGTCTGTGAGGCCTGCCATCCTGGCATCCATCTTGTGTACTTTTTGAAAAAGCTGTCTGGCATATGAACTCCTGGGGAGCTATTAAATGACTTACCTGTCAGCAAAGAGAGAGGGTCTGCCTGCTTACACTGCTCAGCAGCAATCTGGAGCCACACAGGGTCTTGTGCTGCCCATTGCCCATTTTAAGATTACAGCAGTTATATTCTGCTCAGGATGTGAACTGCTCCGCTTAGTAGGGGCAAGAGTTAGAGGGAACATCCAGGCACTGTGGAAACCTGTCTAGTTTCCTGACCTCCTTTTAATGGTCCCATTTGTAAGCAAAGGCTGGGTGGAAGTTTCTCAATGGAGCTGAATCCAGGCACCATGGACGAGTTTATTAAAGGACATCTTCATGGTTTATAGACAGTGCTATGACTTAAAGAGCTGTCTGTGACATTGCAGTGCCAGCCTGCGTACAGTGAGAAAGTGGTGCAGAGTGGAGAACTGTGGGAGGAAAGAGCATCTGAATGTAAAAGAGGTTGAGGTGATAGTCTGATAGTGGAATTGCAAGGCTAGCAGCTGGTTGATCTTTTTTTCATGGGGACGTCCCTGCTATAATGGTGGCAGACTGTTTTATCGGCTCACCTTCTCCACTCAATGAATAAAGCCCACTGTTAGTGTTTCTCCTTCCACTGCTGTCCACATGTGTTCTTCCATACTATTTCCAGTAGGCTCTGGAGAAAAGGGATGAACCACCATCACCACCCTGCTGTTGACCAACTTGCTCTTTTCCCAGCTGTCTGCCATGGTGGTAGTGGTGGCTCTACTCTTTCTGCTCTACAGTCAGCTTGCTCTCCCCAGCAGTTGCCCAAGTGCTGAGCTGACAGTGCAGAGGGTGCAAAGCAGGGTGGGCACCACATTGCGGAGTGGTGCTTAGAAGAGTCATAAGCAGCATGTAAAAGATCCACTGTTAGGGTTCCCACTTGCAGGTACAAGCAGGCAATCTGCTGCCAATGCTCCTCATCCCCTGCATTGATTTAGTGGAGCAATGGGGGTGGTGGTTATGGAGGGGGACACCTTTCCCCTTTTTCAACACTTCCCTCCCCTTGCCCTGCCTCTCAAAGCTCCCTGGCTGCACTATAGGAGCGTGTCAGGCATACAAGGCAGTGAGTAAATATCACTACCTTACCTGTTCCTCCACAGCCACCCACTTCTTTTCTACCTATACTCATTGCACATTGTCAGTCCTATGTCCTATCTTATCTCATTTACTGAAAATGGCATCAGAAGGGCAAGTTCTCCCCCTTCCTGGCATAACATCTAGGAACACTTGCCTGTAACATAGTGTCCTCAGTTGATGATACAGTGATAGCAAATGGGCATGGTGAAGCTCACAATTGCTGTAGTGGTTGGGGTACCAGTCTAGGATCTGAGAGGTTTAAGTCCTCACTCTCCCATGAAGCCTGCTGTGTCACCTTGGGCCAGGTGCTCTCTCTTGGCCTAAAGTACCTCACAGTGTTATTGTGGGGATCAAATGGAGGAGGAGAGAATGCTGTATCCCATCTTGAGCTCCTTAGAAGAAGGGCAGGATAAAAATGTGCTAAATTAACAGATTGTTTAATGGTGTTACATCATATGATGAGTGCTCCTAGGACATTTTTTTATGATGAGGAGAAACTGCCATGGAAATGTCCTTCTCAGCACCAGCCCTATAGCGGGTATCATCACGTAGCTCTCACGTACATTGTAAGCCCTTTCATGCTGTAAAAAGCATAAAAGAGAACATATTTTAACAGCATTTATCACACTGTTGATGCGACATGAATATTAAGTAATAGAACAGCGGGAAGAATACCAGATTATCCACAAAAGCTACATATCAGATCCACATTGTCTAACATACCGGGCATATTTAATCCAAGGAAATTCTGAAATAACTTCATAGCCTTGTTGGTCTTTTTGTTGTTGTTGTTGTTAAGCTGATAGGCATAAATATATAAATAAAAGAGGAGGAAGAGCCAACTTTTATGATAATATCATCAGCTTCCAGCTTCAAAGCTTCTGCGGCTTTTGAGTTGTCATTTATAACTTGGAACTGAACCTGGCCAGAATTCCCTGGATACACTTACCAAAATTGATAACAGACTGCCTCTTTTATGGCTCAGAGGAGGCAACACCAATCACATCACTATTGGCAGTCAATATGATTTTTGACATGCTGTAAAAAAAGCATAAAAGGTCTTATGGCATTTGTTTGGATGAGGAATGGGCTCTCAAGCTGTGCTGGGGTAAAGTTTGGGTTTGGAGCTTGGTACCCCAGAGAC